CTGAAAAATGATGATTACTTGTTGCCAGTCTAGTACTGTGCTTAAATTCAGAAAGTCTAGGTGAAGAGCTCATTCGAACAATTGCCATAAAAGTATTTATAGAAAAGGCAGAGGGAGGCAACTTTATGATGGTGGAAAAGTGACTGAAGCTGGGATGCCAGATCATGGCCAATAATATTGTCGATTCTTCTTTGGATTTTATCAGATCTCTAAACATATAGCAAGAGCACTCAACTATATATGACAGCAATATTCTAAACATGGACAAATGATAGATTCTGGAGAAAAAAATTGTCTAGCATGACACCGTAAACCAACTTTCTTAGGACCTGACCTAGCATTTGATTTAATATAGTCTTTCACTTAATGTCAGCCCGTGAAGGCACAATGAGTCACTCTCTTGGAGGTTAGCATCAGTCATATTGATGAAAGGCAGAAAGAGCTCTCTCAGATGATTAACAGAGAGCAGTTTAGTTTTGGTGGTGTTAAAATTAAACTGTCCTTTGTCACTGTTAACAGGCTGAAGGTCATTTTTGGCATCAGGTACCAATTTGACCTTAATGGACTGATCAGGCTTACTATCAAGACAGAATGATACCATAGGAAAGGTCATTAATGAAAATTTAAAAACAAAGTAGGACGAACAATAGAACCCTGGGGGACACCTGCCTTAGAACAAAAGGATCCAGAATGGTGGCCATTCAGGATAACTTTTATTTCACAATTTGATAAGAAAGACTGTATCAGTTAAGACATTCAGCCAGAAATACCGTAACTTTTCAACTTGTGGAGAAGACCTGTATGCCAAACCCAGTTGAAAGCTTTTGAGGTGTCCAAAGCAACAGCCCAAGCTTCGCCATCCTTTTCTAGAGCTTGATAAACTTTCTCTGCAATGATCATTAGTACATCAGCAGCTGACCTGGAGAAACGAAAACCATATTGCTTGTTTGAAAGAAGGACTTGTGATATACGACGCTTAATCAATTCAGCATGGATTAGGACCTCAAGTAGTTACTTAAAGAGTTGGAAGGGTCAGATGGTTCACCTGAATTCTTAAAAATTAGAACATCTAATGATGATTTTCAACAGGCAAGAAAGCAAGGGACTCTAAGGCACTTTAGAGAGAACAGGAGCTAGTATGGGAGCACACATAAATCAAGATGTTGATATTTCACACTACTTCAAATAAAAGGTTAGGAAGGAATCCTTCCCCACATCAATACTGGAAAGAACTATAATAGCTACTAGACTTGAGAAACCTGTTTTCCTGAAAAATATTTTTAAAAAGGAAGATTTTGTTGCTTTTATCTGAAAGCAAAACTGGCTGCTCAGTCAATGAATGCCAAAGATTTCTTCATAAGAAAACAGTTAATATTACCATTACCAGAGATAAAAAGAAAAACAAACATTAATCAGGAAGAGAAAAGGCAACTACTTTCTGGGAAATGAATTCAAATCATTATTTACATGCCGATTATTGCCCTCACCTGTGTTTTTGTTATGACATTTTCAGCTGTTGTATGTTGATTTGCATAATCTACTACCAATAGCCTAGTAGATTAAAGTGTTGGTTTGTGAATTTTGTAAAATGAGCTTGCAATAAGTGACCAGTACTAAAAATAATAACTATAGATTAAATAAAGTGTTCCGTTCAAAATTTCCTGTAGGCTACATAGATTGACAATCATCTGATGAAGGCCAGAGGGCACAAATGCTGAAACTTTGTGATGATAACAATAGTCAGAATGTAAATAGTGTAAATAATGATAATTCTTCATCACAAATATTCAGACAGAGAGTACAAGTCAAATGGACGGACAACCTATTTGGTTCAGTTAATCTGCTAAAGTAACTTGTACTAGCAATGTCTCAGTTTATGGCCACAGACAAGGTAACTTGTTTTATGATACTGTTACTCTTTTTTTTCAAGATAGTAACCCTCTTGCTACCCCTGCTGCTCCTCCCAAAAAGTGTAAAGTGTAGATACAAAAATGCAAAATGATCTGAGTAAATATGAATGTAGTGAATTTAAGGTGGTCTTTATATAGATATAAGTTTTAATCTACATTTTTTTATGTAGATGGTTTGATATATTTTGTATGTAGATGTTTGAAGATAGATTTCATTTAAATTAAAATACTTTAGCACATTTATGTAGAGGTTATATGACATAGGATTCAAGAAAAATATCTTTGGTGTTGAACAGCTTAAAGGATTTTAATGAATTCTGTGTACAAGTAGGCATTTATTTCTTTTGGGGATAGATGCTTTAAGCGTCTTGATTGAAGAATTGGATTAAATATAAAGTTAAAAGATTCTTGCCTTTACAGTCGGACCAGGAAACCTCGTTCAAAGCAGCTTTTTGAAATCATTTTGCTGAATTAATGGAAACCAAATATTCAAATCATTGCTTGCAAATTTTGATTCTTTGCTAAATTTTATTTATATATGTTATTTCTTAATTTCAAAAGAGTTCCTTTTTATTATTTTGTTTATTTATATATTTATCTTTTTGTAATTTTTGTTGTGCTTCTGGTTTTCCATAGATTCCTTTTTTATTTAGTTATATTTTTTTTTAATTGTATCTGAAATCCCACTTCTTGGGGAAATATTTGGAGTGGTTTCCTATTGCCTTCTCCATGGTTTTGAGAAATATGGAACCACCTTTTAATTGCTGTTGTTCTCAGGTCTACTCTGACTCAGGGTGGTAGCACTTATTAGGAACTGAACTATGGCCAAATAGTGGCCACCCCCTGCAAAAAAAAAACAAACATGAAAGTATAAAAATACATTTTTTATAATGAAAGTACCAGCAATACTTTTTTTTTTTCTTACATAAAAACGACCAACACTACATATAGTAAAATGATCAGCAATATATTTTATAGCAAAATGACCAACAATACATTTTATCTGTAGTTGAAGGCATACAAGATATATTTAGCTGAAGCCATAGTGTTCAAATTATTTAGATTTCAGCATTAAATAACCCATAGAGGTGTTGATATGCCACTAAAGAAAATCAATCAAGATCATTAGTGTGAAGTGACTGTAACAAACTAGGCCAGAACTTCTTGCCAATTTCACTTTCCGTGCTGCAAAGTAACGCTATACACACATTCCATTTGTTTCTTTTACATTTTTTTTTTCAAATAGCATGGCTAGCATTGCATGTGCACGTTTCTTGGCTATCTAATGGTTATTTACAGTTGTCTTGCAAGATAAATTTTGAAGTCAGATTATTTTTATCGACCAAAAGCTATTAATAAAAATAAGAGAGCAAGTATGGCTTGAGTAAATGTTAGCAAATGTAAATGAATTCTGTTTCTTTGTTCATAATTAGAAATCAAACAAAATGTAAAGTAACAAATTCCCCCCACCCCATTCTAGGTATGACAAACTAAATCTGACGGCAAAGCCTCTGATTAGAAGATTGTGGGTTTTGAGAAGTGTGGGACTACCTCATTGCTTTTGTTCCCAGGTCTGCCTGACCCAGCATGGTAGAACCTATTAGGGTCCAAACTATGGGCAAATATTGAACTCCCAAACAAAAATCAACAGTACATTTTTATAACAAAATGTCCAACAATACATTTTTATAGTAAAATTACCAGCAATACACTTTTTATCAAAATTTGCCATTTATGTTCACTTACATGTAAATACCCTTGGGGGAGGTATGAATCCACCTCTTCTCCCCCTGCTATGGATTAATTAGTAAGAGTTATATCAGTAAACTATTATCTTCCAAAAATTCTTATTATCTAAAAATATTTTCTGGCTTTAAATAACCTGCAAAAAGTTAATAGACCATAAAAAAAAACACAAATCAATCAGTCTTTATAAAAAGCAACTGAAATGAAGATAAAAGAAATACTAGTCAGAAGATAATAATCAGTAATATATTATCAAAGAAATTTCCATTCAAAAAGTTGCTTCAAATTTTCACCTTGAGAACAGTTGACTGTTGAACATGTATAGTGAACTTAAGATGGCAGGCGACCAGCTTGTAAGCCCCCAAAACATTTTAAAGATGACCTGAAGGACTTCCTTAAGAAAGTCTGCATTAATGCTCAGACATGAGAGAGGAAAGGATAAGGATGGATAGAGGGGTGAGATTGTGCAGGCTGTGAAGGGCTTTGAGGAAAGAAGGATTGAAAATGCGGAAATTAAGTGCGCTGCTAGGCATATAGAGGAGGTGACACCTCTCCCAGGAAAGGTATCTAAGAAAGTATTTGGTTAGCAAAGTCAAATTACTGTTTTGTTAACCAGACACTTCCTCTGTAGCTAAATGGTATAGCACATCAGGCTATATGACAGTTCTGTGTAGGATACCAGTTTGATTCCTGTCGGAGGACACACATTTTCTATAAAATTTCTCGGACATTCAGGCCGGTAAATATAGTTAATACTGTTTATTGTAAATAGAGAATTTAATTAAATACTTGTATCTGTAAAAATAATGTATAAACAGAAAAAATATATGAGCCTCCCTCATTGAACTAGAAAAGTGAAATTCAGTGGAATAATTACACCAAGATGTTACAGGAACTGGACAAGGGTAGTACCCACATTAAAAAAAAAAACAAAAAACCATTGTGTTAAATCTTTTGCCACCCTTTTTGGAGAGGCAAATAAATAGCTTTGCCCAAGGAGAGTTTCTCTCTTAAATTCTTATGCTTGGGTTTAATCAGACATTTTTTTTTTTCTTTGAGAATTTTTTAGCAGCATCTCCTCACTATAATATATAGAGAAATTTAACAGTTGTAAAAGTGGCTGATACTGCTAACTATAACATTTTTTACTTTCACCATTATCCATATGTTTGAATAACTTTTTATTGTTGTTCCTTGAGTGTGTGTGTGTGTGTGTGTGTGTGTGTGTGTGTATGTTTTTTCATTGCTGTGAAAAAAACAAACAAGCAATACAGTATAAGAGAAAAAAGTATGGCACCTTTTTTTCGGTATCCTTTAATATTTTTCTTTCTTTCTTTTTTATAGAAAGAAAATGAGATGAAAAAATGTCCAAGTTACTCTGGTAAGTTCATTTTTAGAACACGTTTAATGGCTACTTTGGCAATTAGAATTTTTTTTTCAATTGTTCTAGAACTTGGTAATTTTGTATTTATTTTCTGGATTATTTTACTATGTCTCACATTGGAAAATATACCTTATTTGAAACTGAAATCAATTAAAATTTGTAGAAAGAAAATGACAACACTAAATATGACATTGCAACAGTCCAAGAAAAACTTTTTTTTTTTTTTTTTTTTATTAAATTCTGTTTAATTTTTTCTTACTAGATTTTGCTTAATTTTTAAGCAAAATTATTTTTATTTAACTGTTATGACAGGAAAATAATGATTTGATACTTTTTTTTTCCTCTGAAATTTGGTAAAAACTACATTTTTCAAATTGAAAATTTTGAAACTATTAAATATGTCTTAAATATGGTATTTTTGCTATTGTGTCATAGTAAAAAAAATTGATCTTGTGTTAATTTCTCATTACTATCTTCTTCAAGCTCTCTCCAAAAAGCCAAAAGATTCAGGTAAGTTTTTTGTTTTTGTTTTCTTAATGTGCTTATACTTTATACAAATAGGAAATTGGTAAGTTTATATTCCTATTCTATTTTTTCCCACTTTTTGTCCTGTTTATTTTAATTTTATTCAATATTATACTATTTCTAAATCTTGGAATCAATTTTACATTCTTATTGAAGTAAAATGCAGACAGACAAATGGAACTGGTAAGATAAAATGGTTCTTTAAAAAAAAAAAAAAAAAAAAAGCATTCTTAGGGAAGAATTTGACTAATATTCTAATCTTTTTAACTTGGAATTAAAATATTTTCATTTCATACTAGAATTAATTATTATTTGACACTGCTTTTAATCTATACACTTTTAACTCCCCCAGCAATGTTTGTTTGTTTTAAAAAGTGATGTTTTAATAAACTCAAACATATGAAAGTGGATTTATACATTTTCGTTATTCTTGAGAATTGACAACAAAGATGTTAAACACTATTTATTTATTAGATTGAATATAAAACTTGCTTTCATATTTATTTATAGAATTGTGAATAATAAATTTTGCTTTGTAGGTTTACATATTGTGATAATTTTTTATAAATTTTTGAGCAAAAAAATTTCTTTTGCAATTTCTTTATAAATGGTAAATAATAAATATCACATTATACTTGGTTCACATATTTTTATAATCTTGTAAATAAACAATGCTGAGGGATTCAAAAGTTTATACAGTAATAGCAGTGTCAAGGGAGTAAGTGTCCTTTTTGACACACTTTTTTGTGGGCACGATTGTTAAACATTGCCCAATTTTCTTTATTTACTTTGTATTTCTTCCTAGAAATGAATAACTAATCTTGATAGCTTTTTTTTTTTTTTTTTTTTTTTTTTAAAAATTTAATGAAATATTTTTCTTGGACCATTGTATTTAAGGAACATTATAAAGGACTAATTGATTAGAAAAACAAATTATATTTGTCATAATGGTTAGAGTAGCCTAAATTTAAATGACCTATTTTTAGACCAAATTGTTAGATGTAAAGACAATCCCACCCTTAAAATAAGTGTAAAAAAATAAAAGTAACCTTGCAGCTAACAGGTGAAAGGATACTTTTTTTAATTTTAGTTTAATTTTTGTTATATTTTAAAAATGTTGTTTGAGGCTAGAAAATATAGTAATATTTTAGAATTGTCTTTATGCTCTCTTGGATACAATGGGTTTAGATAAAAATAACATTTCATTAAAGAAAAAGAAATTATCAAAACATCAAAGTTGTTGTACATGAATGCACTAATTTTGTTTCAATTTAATGATGCGTCTCCTGCTTGAAAAAAAAAAAAACCCCAAAAACCTGTTTGGCATTCCGCTTCACAGGTCATTATTAGCAGTCATGTTTGTTACATTCACTTATGCACAAATACACTTGAACAAGATATGAATCCATCTCCCAGATATGGATTAAATAGTAGGACTTGTATCTGGAAAAATCATTGTTCTTGTCAATGTAATATTCACTCAGAAAAAATAATTATTCTTACAGTCATAAAAAATGTTTTGGCTTTAAATAATCAAAGTTTTAAGCCATAAAAAAAATAAAATAAATCAGTCAATCACAGTTCATTAGTTATTATTACTCATTATCTCGGGCTCAGATGGAAATAATTATGGGGGTTTAAATGTCATTCAAAAATAGAAGGAAAATGAAATTATATATGTATGAGCTGGGGATGTGGAAACGGAATAACAAAAAAGGAAAAATTTCATTATGCATTCTGTCTCTCAAAAGGACTTGAACCAATGCATTTGATGTATTGTTTTGTAGAATGTCTCGTGTGTTCATATAATCTTTTTAGTTTCCTTGAGGTTTATTCTATGTATTTTTATTTTTTTTTATCTATTTTATTTTTTGTGGCAATTATTTTATTGCCTGTAATAATTGTCACAAAAATATATAGGAGAAACCTCCAGGAATCTATGAATACAAAAGACATTTTATAAAACAAATCATCAAGTGTGTTGGTTGCCCACTGTAATGAGACTGAACACAATTTTGACATGAAAAATGCTACTCTGATCAAAGGAGAAAACAATTGAGTACAACGAAAATGTCTAGAGAGTGCCTTGATTGCAAGTTCATTTCCAGTAAATTTGCGCCTTGGCAACATTTCACCATTCCTGGCAGAACTTCTTTTATCACAGTATAGAATATCTACTAACAAAAGTGATGTAAACAAAAAGAATGTAAATGAAATCGGTTAGATAATAATAAAAAAAAATTTAAAATTCCCAGCATCCCTTGTTTGTGCACATGTGTAGTTGCACCAACATAATAAATTGAGTCTGAAGAAGTCCTAAAGGACTAAACGTGTCATGTGGGCTGTAAAGAGAAAAGAGATCTGGTGTTATCTTGATGGAAGATGACACCTTTCTGATTGGCCAATTCTGGATGTTTTTCATTGGTTGCTTTTAATCAGTCCAATTAGGTACAATACTTGTCTGAATTCAACATTTGATTTTTACAGAAATACACAATAACATCACTCTCTTTGGATTCAGACTGGATTTTACAGTAGCTAATGGTGGTTCAGTTTATTTTTTTGGGCTCCACATTGTTGTAAGCAATCCATTTTCATCGACTGTGAGAGTTTTTTTTCAAAACCGGGTCATTTTGTTGCATTTGAACAGAGAATCACAGATGGTAATGTGGGCCGTCAATTTTTTTCTATTAAATTGTGAGGCACTCAAAAATTGTTGTGATTCATGTATCCAAGTGTTTTTGACTGCCTTACAATTCTCACATGAAACAGGTGGGGTATCATTATTATGATCTGTGCTATTTTAAATTTAGCATTTTGTGCTATTTTAATTTTGATTTGGTTATCACAAATAATTGCAAACCTGCCAGAAACACTTACAAACAGTCCTCTCAGCTCTGGTAATGTCTTTATAAATCACCCATATGTTTCTTTTTTGTTGTATTTTTCCTTTTTTTGATGAAAAAGCATCTTTTCACTTTTAATGTAAAAATGTGGATGTGCATGTGGGATAATGACTAAGCAGCTCCCCATGAATTCAAGTTTGAATTCCAGTAAAGTCTGTTACATTCACTTACAGGCAAATACCCTTGGAAAAGGTGTGAATTAATTTTTGTCCCCCTAGCTATGGATTAAATAGGACTCTTATATGGAAAAGTCATTAACTTGAAAAAAAATTGTTAATGCAATATTTATTCACAAAAAAAAGCCCTTCTTATAATCCAAAATATGTTTAGACTGTAAATAACTTGCAGAGGTTTAAGCTATAAAAAATTAATTTAACATAAAATTATTTAAAATTCACAAACTAACTAATAGCCTAGTGGATTAAAGTGTTAGTTTTTGAATTTGGTGACATCATAATTGCAAGTTCAATCCCTGGTCTGGTCTGTGGGCACTTGAACTGGTTATAAATGGTATGAGCAATAGCTGAGTAGTACTAAATAAGAATTAGACAAGATAGCCCTAGACATGGACAGCAGAACAAGAACAATCTATCTTTAAACATAGATTAAATAAAGAGTTCTGTTAAAAATTCCCTGAACATTATCCAGATTGACAATCACTTGATGAAGGCTGGAGAGCACAATGGTCAAAATATGATAACAACAATGATCGGGACAATAGTCCATGTATAAATAACTCCTCATCCCAGAAATTCAGGGCTTACAGCCACATTCCTTTGAAACACTAGTTCTTGTATGATCACTGAAGTTAAGCAATATTGAGCCTAGTCAGTACCTAGATATGTGACTGCTTTGGAATAACTGGTGCTGTAAGCTTGGATTTATGGGTAGTGTAATGGATAATGGCTCAGTATTGGGTACTGGAGAACAATTATCAGAGTTCCAGTTAGATTATCATATTTCCTTAGGGATAAATACTCTTGGGAAAGGTATTAATCTATCTCTTCTCTCCCAAGCTATGGGTTAATTAGTAAGACTTGTATTGCTAAAACATTATCTCCAAAAAAAATTTCTTACAATCTAAAAATATTTTCTAGCTTTAAATAACCTGCAAAAGGTTGATAGGTTGTTAAAAATCAAATCAATCCATCAAAACTAAGAAATTCAGACAGAAATAAGCATTTAATTATTGGTCATTTTAAAATACTTTTGTATTAGAATCTTTGTACATTCTTAAAATTTTTTATCTTAAGGCTTCTTTAACATTTAGAACTTATTGATCAGCTATAATGTACTAAACCAGGGGTTGGCAGTCTTTTGGAGTGAGCGGACTAGACAGGGTTGGGGGTGTGGGGGCACGATATCAAATATACTTCAATAAATTGTCTCGTCCTCAGATTGCTCTGTCCAGAAGGCTGTCTTTGTCGGGAGAAACTTTCTTTATGACAATGGTTTCTTCACAAATTAAACACATTTTCCAAAGTGCTTGATGAAAATTTAAAATTTCGGCACTCAAAATCCACTTTTCTTTTTTTTAGTTTCCATGAGCTTGTTTTTGTTCAGACAAAAAAGATTTCTGGAATGGGGGGAAAAAAAAAAAAAAGAGAGTACAGTAATCTAGTTATGATTAAGTTGGCAGGCCGGACTAAAATGCTTTGTGGGCCGACCCCTTTACTAAACATTTGTACTGCAAGGAAGTGTAAACACATTCCAGTTCTACATGATATTTGAGATTCTCACTTCTTACAGATGATGTTATTTAGGGGAAAATTACAAGTGTTTGTTTGAGCATGGCAGTTTTTTGTAATGAAGCAACTAAATAAGTATTTTTTTTTTTTTTTCCTTCTTGAATAAAAATTCAGGAATTTTGGTGGTTACCATTTGTTTTTTTTGTTTTTTTAGCATGTATTGCTTTTTTGTGGTTTTCATCTTTAACTTCTTTTTATATTCTGCAATGTTTATTTGCTGGACTAATTCTCACATCATGAGTGCTATTTCAACTTGCCTGAATTCTTTTTATTTTCACCTGAACATTTTTCTTTGTTTTCCATCTTGCAACCAAAATTCAATGTTTCTTTATACATAAACGAGTGTCCCATTATAGATGTTTGAAAAACCAGAAATGAGAATTCTATACCTCCTGAAAAACTGGTTCATCTAGTTTGTGAAGAAAATGCTACAGAGCTTCCACCCCACCCCCCACTTTTTTTTTTCTTTACAGATAATTTAAGATTATTTCAGTAGATATATCAGGTTGGCCAGAAAGTCCTGACTCACTGAGGAAATGAAACGAGCACATTTTATGCGGGCAACACCAACATTTATTCTTCAAAATAAAGTTCATCATTCTCAATGATTTTCTGTTAGCGATCAGCCAGCATCCAAAAGATACCAGTCCATTGGCTTTGAATCAAAAAAAGAACTGTAAGCAAACTCCATCAAAAGTGTTGAATCGCTAGTCATAGAGAAAGTGTGCCATTGAGTGGAATAGGCCATAGTTGCTCGAAGCAGCATCAAGACTGAATGGTGGATGTGGAAGAATCTCAATACAATCCGTCTTGTTTGAATTTCTCCCTAGTCAACCTGGCAGTGTGTGGCCTCACATTGTCTTGCTGAAACAAAGCCCAACTTTGATTGACCAAAGCAGTATACTCCTTCTTTAGTTTGTCGTACACGCGGTCTACCTGCTGGCAATACAGTTTAGCATTGATGGTACGATCGTGTGGGACAAGCTCAAAATGCAGTACTCCTTAGAAATTCCACCAGACAGAGATCAAAATTTGTTTCCTAAGTGAGTCAGGACTTTCTGACCAACCTAGTATAATCATTTGGAATTTTCAGAAAACAAAAAATTTTGGATACAATTTTTGCACAATTTTTTTTTTTTTTTTAATTTTATTTTAAGACCTTATTATTTTAAGAGTTTAAAACCTTCAATAAGAATGTATTTTGAAACACAAAGTAAGTTTTATTTATTTTATTTTTTGTGGGGTACAAATTTTTCCAAATAGTATTATACAGGATGCAACCATAATTACACAACTTAACTGACATCCTTAATTGCTAATGATATTTAAGCTGTCTGCCTTTTAAAGCCTTTCCAGAAGATGGCTGATTTAGACCTGAAGAACATTTCTCAAGGCTTGTCTGATTGCAAATTGATTATTTATAAAAGGCAATAACACTTTTAATGCTGTCATAAATGTAAAATAATAAAAGACTAGTAAAATAATTCTACTAATCTTGATGATTTCTGATAGAAAAGATCAAGTCTCTGTTCTTCATACATGATACACAGGGTGATTATTCAAGTCTTATGTAATTTAAAAAAATATAGTAAGTACCTCGAGATGAACAGCAGGGGTACCTGACCATATATGGCAACAGTATTCAATGCAAAGATGAATGGTAGATGTGTAGATTTGAAGAAAGGACTCAAAGGAGAAAAACCTTCAGGTGTTACATGGAGAACCAACTTTTCTTGCAGTAGATGTAACTATTGATTTAATGTAGTAGTTCCACTGCAGGTCAGTGGAAAACCTTAGGCCAAAAAGGCGCAATGAGACACTCTTGTACAAGTTCTGGCCAAAAATGATCAAACCATTTTGAACATGTTTTAGAACAAGTTGTGTGACCTTGACAGTCAGTGAGAGGGGAACTTAGTGTGCACGTATGTATGACACTCTTCCAGTGAGTTGCCATTGAGTGAGCTTGAGTACTGTGTGGTGGTCACATTCACAATCAGCAAGAAATTACATTCTTCATATCTTACACAGGAGTTTTTGACAAAACATTGCTTCACTCAGATGCCCCTTCCCCAATACAGATTTGGATCCCTACAGTAACTTGTAGCTTTTCCTAAAGTTAAAATCCTGAAATGTCTGAAATTGTGGCCTATTTTGAATAATATATATAGATACATACATACATACCCCCCACACACACACACAAAATGCACTATACTTTATTGCTGAGTTAATTTTCTGACCTACTCTGTTCACTTCCTACAAATTTTGACTAGATACCTTCATGACTGTATAAAGATTTAAAAAGTTGGGTTCTGTTTTTTTTGTTTTTTTTCTTGGAAAACAATTGAATTTAAAGAGATTTTTGTTTTTGAAAATCATTAACTTTTGAGATTTGATTTCTTTTTTTTCTTTTCCCTTTTCAGTTCCAGTTGCTGTTGTTATAGTCATTGTTGTTGTCTTAATTCTATGCATTTCTGTGGCTATCTGGTGTTTTTATGGTTATTCTCATCCCACAACTCCACTTGGGATCTGGATGATGGAAGTAAGTAGCGTTTTATTAAAATAATACTTACTTATTGGGTTGTCAGATAAAGTAAACTTTTTTTTTTTTTTTTTTTTTTTTTGGTGACATTCCTCTATTCCGTTTTGTTCAACAATTTTAGCAAATGTATTTCCCTTCATTGTCAGTGCCATAACAATAGAAATCACTGGGTCTTGACTTGGAAATTTCACTGAACCATATATATATATATATATATATATATATATATATATGTAACTGTATTTGATAAGTAAAAAATATTACAAAAAGTTAACCAATGAATTAGATCATAATTAATAAAAACAAAAAATAGATAAAAGTGTATATAACACCATAATACTGCTGGGCACAAATTATAGAAGAAAATGTTTTAAATTTATCTTGTTTATTGAAAATCACATTAAAACTACAGCATTGTATAATATATTACATCATAATATAACTAAACTGTCCAGTATAATTTCCCATTGAAGTACATGAAGGTCTTATTTGATGGTAGAATGATTTACTAATAATTTGCTTGTGCCATGCATTTTGTCTATATGCAATTTGTAACGCTTCAGTAAATTGTAAGTTTTATAAGACTCTGCTTATAAGGCTTTTATTGATCACTGGAATGAAATTCCAACACTACAATTTTGAACCTAATCTTTAAATTCATTTCTTCAAAAACTGTAACAATTTGAAAAAAATATTTTGTGTCATTATTTATCATGTGAAACCCTAACTTTCAAATTGATTGCAATACCACGATTCCAAAATCTACCTGCCCTATTGATTATGAGTGGAGGCAACCACTGAAATAAAATAGAGAACACTAGAAAACAAAGTGTCTGACAGAATTAGTAAACATACTGTTCTCCAATAAACTCCTCAGTAGGTCAAGCATTGAACATATGGTAGGCTGCTGCTTCAATATGCTGTGTCCCTTCAGGATATGGGTAATCATGGCTTTCCACCACTTTGTAGCCCTTAGCAATGTCTGTCTCTTTGCCAAGCCCACCACCATTGTTTACTTGCTCTGGACATGGAATTTTCATTATCCTGTAGAACCACATTTCAATTGCCTCCTGTTTTCTCTTCCTGGACAATGGTTGGCTTTAAATTCCAATAGCCAATTCATATTCTCTGGCTTAGTAGCATGAGCAGACAAGGAGGTAATGAGTTATCTCCCTTAGCATGATTAATATTAATTTCAATCCTGCTTGGAAGAAGTTTTATTGTTTTTTCTTTTTTACAAACAATAAAAAACAAGGCTGAAGGGGAGGTGGGGTAAGGCTGGTCAACAGTATCTATCCTAGACCTAGCTAACCAGATTCATGGCCCATTCATTCATTACAATTACCACAAGAACTCGTCAATCACCATTCAATCTTACATATACCACATATTCACAGAAAACCTACAATACACTCAATGGCATATAAAAATTTGCAAAGTTTGAGATGTCTCTCTTTCTTTTCTCTCTCTCTCTCTCTCTCTATATATATATATATATATATATATATATATATATATATATATATATATAATTTCCATGAACATGAAAATAATGGGGAGGGGGAGATGAATCCAAAAACAAAACTAAAATAAAACAACATTCAAACTAGAAAAAATAAATGTTAGTAGGACCAGTCCACCCCTCAAAAATAATAAGAGTGGCCACTGTATTCTACCTATAGACAGAATCAAGAAGCACACTCACTAATGGAGTGGGGAAAATCAATGATTGACCCAGTTGGAATACAAAAATGGGAAAAAACAAACTGGGGAGGTTGGGAATCTTGACATGGATCATAACAAAAGAGAAAGCCAGGAACAAACACTTACTCACATTAACTAAGTAAGCAAATACTGTCTAATTTAACCAGGGGAAAAATTAACAGGAATGATCAGAACCCTGATGGATTTCCTTGCCCAATTCTACACACATATACACTGCTTCATTAGACATCTTTTTTTTAACCTATATTTAACAACCTAGCCCTGGTAGCACTTGCTAGTCTCACGCTTCAGAGCCTGCCTAGCTAAACCTATCTCTAGAGAATCCCCTGCAGACTATCCTTGAGAGTCTTCAGTTTGTTAGACTTATCTCTGGTGAGTTGTTGGATATATTCGCAATCTACTACCTTGGTTACTCTTCTGCCTTGGCCACTGCTTCTGTTACTGATGTTTCCACTCCTGTGGGACATCCTGCTGGGGACAAGAGGTTGCACCCTTTTGTCCCCAACTTGCAACCTGATGCCATTCACTGAGGCCATTGAAGGTCTGGCTTGACTTTTTTTGCCCTACTGCTTTCTTTGATATTGTTGTTTGCTAGGGTTGTGGCATTGGGTTCCTGCTAGGGTATCCTTTCGACAAGTTCTCCATGGTACCACAGGACCAGCTGAGGGTCTTCCACAATTATTAGAATGTTCTGGTCCCAGCATGTCAAAATGTAGGATGTCCATGAATCTTTTTCAGGACATTGTCATCTGTAGGATGACCTCCTCAGTGGCCCCTCTGACACTTGTACTTTTTACTGTTTGCGTGGTCCCCAACTCGACCATAGTTTTTATAAATAGTCTTCTTATATGTCCAATGTCCAAGGGCACACCATGAAGTGTGATTTTTTTTTTTTTTTTTTTTTTCTGTCCCCAGGTACCTTGTTTGCAGCCTCACCAATTTCTAGGTGACTATGCTTCCTGCTAATGTCTTGGCTTCTTCAACTGTAGTCAGAAAGATGTTCCCCCTCCCCTCATGGCATTTGATCTTCTGGCCACTACCTTGGGGGCTACATTGAGGCTCTTCATTGCCTCCTTTATTATCTCCCTTCTGACGCCAATCAATGTACTTGTTTTTACATCTGTAGTCAACAGAGAGGTTGTCTTAGATTTGACCGCTAGCAAAACAGGAGGAATTGTTAGAAGTTTGTTCCCAGATATATAGTTTTGAAGACTTCAGTTTGGGCCTCATAATAATCCATGTCCTTCTTCAGTCTGTCCACTGCCTGTGCTGATGAAGTAGTGGGAAATAGTTGTTTGAGCTGCTGGGTAGATGCCTCCATGCTAGTAGGGCTCTCACAACATTAATTGATGCCAATAAGAGTGTTACGATAACAACTGAATATTTCATTAGTAAATAAAGGCAGTCAGGCTACCAATACACTACATTGTGTTAGATTTCTTTGAATATTTATAACAGAAAAGATCAAAGCCAAATTCATTCTTGCATCTGACAATAGTGTTAATAGTAGAGATAAAAATCCTAGATAACTCATTTACAAAATATAACCAATGCAATTAAATATGGCTATCTTATTTCTTATTGGCATCAATTAATCATGTTAATGGAATATATTCTTACTAGGAAGAGATCAAGTTGTATGGGACTGATAAGTGTGATCATGTTACGATTATTTAAAAATAACATAAACACAGGGATACTAAACTATTTTTGGTCTGACCAAGCATTTTTTTAATTTTTTTTTTTATTTAATCCTTTGGTTATTTGATTGTGCTGCAAACTTTTCAGCTTATTTTTCAGTAATATATATATATATATATATATATATATATAACATGAATCATTCATACAAAAAACAGATTAGTGAAGTTAATGATATAAATGGCGAGAATACATCTTTGCAAACAAATTTATTAAAATTACATTAACCCACGAACCTCTAGATAAATGTTGTGATCCCTGTTTTTAATAAATTCAACTTGTATAAGGTCTTTTTTTGCTAGTACTTTCATCTGTTCATACAGATATGGAAATTGATTTTTTTTTTTTTTTTTTTTTTTTTTTAATACATCCATGTAATAATGGGACATGAAAGATTATATGTGAATCGAAATATGTTTTTTAGAAATATATATAATGTTTTCTCAAATGAGTTGTTGTCTCCTTATTGTTGCCTATGTGCAATTTTTTTTTTTTTTTTTTTTTTTAAATTTAATAACTTCTTTAAATTTAATTTCAGCATCGACCAAGTCAGATGAAAGCAAAAATGGCAAATATGAAATTTTGGAAACAGAGTACCCCTGCTGGTGACAAATACAGAATAGAAAGCGAAGCTTAAAGAGCACTCGATATGTGGACTTGAATTACTCTCCACCCTCTATTTTCAGGAGTTTCCCTTCAAAGAAAAAAAAATGGAAAAAAAAAAAAAAAAAAAAAATGAAAGTAAAATTCAGATTTTATAAACTTTCTATAACAAAAACAACAATAATAATAATAATAATAATATAAATATATGTATTACTGGTTTGTATGATGGGTGTATGGTATTTGACAATATTTGTCAAAGAGACTTCACTAACAAAAAAAGAAAAAATAGAGCTCTAAACAAAAAGCTAATATAAGTTGTTTTAGTTTTTGTTTTAACAATTCAACCTCTGAACTCTCTTCTGCTTTAGTTCAACCTTAATGCAAACTGAGCCTTGATTTTATCAAATATACAATTTCACTTTATGCAGATTCTTTTCTTTTTTTTTTCTCTCTCTCTCTCTCCTGTATTGGCTGCAACTACCAATTCTAATATTTCTTCTACTTGTTTACAATTAGTTCTCATCAGTTACCAGCCTGTGTTTGACCACAAACAAATATAATCAAAGTTTCTACCTTCTTTTGCATTATGAACTAAATCAGTATTAAATAACAGAAAAAAAAATAATTCCAACAGTTGTCCGAAGTATTAGATTGTGTGGCATTTGTGGTTAACACAATGTTTTAGTCAATCTGTTCTTTAGTCTTTCACTAGTGTACAAGCTATAAGGAAATAATAGGTTTTTTTTGTGTGCCTGTTATTTTAGTCAATGTAGTACATTTGACACTTTTTTGTAATACCCAATAATTCTGAGAATCTGTTCACATTAATGGATTAATCTGATAATGCTTTCATCATTTAACAAGTCCAAGTTTACATTTAAGAAGAAAACAAAAATTGCAAGACGCAACGTACGCACAAAAATCAAATATAGTTGACCTAAAACAGTTTTATCATATTCGTGAACACTCGTCCCATAAGACAGTTGGTTATTTGCAGATCATCAGTTCAAAACTTCCATTAGGATTTCAGTCACTTTGATTTGAATATCCATTGATAGAATGATTAGGACGACCAGTAATCATATCTGGAATTTGTCGACCCTCAGATATGATTATTTCTGTTTTTTGTTTATTAGGCAATGTTGCAATGTTGTAAAACAAGCAGTTGTTTCTGAAATTGGGAAGAGTTATCGTTGTGGTTTATTGATGTTGCATGTCATATATATATATATATATATATATATATATAACACAGATGCATAAAACAAAAACCATTTTTAATTTTTTTTGTTATTTGTTTGTACATCTGATGAATGCTGTATAATGAATCTACCAAGATGTTACGGTCACACATAATGAAATACATTCAGTTGTCTAAACAACTTTTTAAGACTTTGAATTCATTTTCCTCAACTCTTAGATTGTATACTTTAAAAAAAAAATAAATTGATTAAATGACTTACCTCGGTTAAAGATCTTGCTAATTTCATTTAATAGTAGCAAATATAAAAATAAATTACTTTAAAATTTGGGTTCAAATCATTAATACATAGAATTCTAAAATTAGAAATTGTTATTCTTTTCTACATATGAATTCTTTTTATAATGTTTATATATTGGAATTAATATGAAATTTCTCAAACAAAATCCTATATTTCTTTCTCATCTCTTTCTTTCTGGTCTCCTCCCTCTTGGTCTGTCTCCTTCCTGGTCTCCTCCCTCTTGGTCTGTCTCCTTCCTGGTCTGGTCTCCTCATTGGTCTGTCTCCTTCCTGGTCTGGTCTCCTCCCACTTGGTCTGTTCTCCTTCCTGGTCTGGTCTCCTCCCACTTGGTCTGTCTCCTTCTGGTCTGGTCTCCTCCCTCTTGGTCTGTCTCCTTCCTGGTCTGGTCTCCTCCCTCTTGGTCTGTCTCCTTCCTGGTCTGGTCTCCTCCCTCTTGGTCTGTCTCCTTCCTGGTCTGGTCTCCTCCCTCTTGGTCTGTCTCCTTCCTGGTCTGGTCTCCTCCCTCTTGGTCTGTCTCCTTCCTGGTCTGGTCCCCTCCCTCTTGGTCTGTCTCTCCTTCCTGGTCTGGTCCCCTCCCTCTTGGTTCTCCTTCCTGGTCTGGTCCCCTCCCTCTTGGTCTGTCTCCTTCTTGGTCTGGTCTCCTCCCTCTTGGTCTGGTCTCCTCCCTCTTGGTCTGGCCTCCTTCCTGTCTGGTCTCCTCCCTCTTGGTCTGGTCTCCTCCCCTTCTTGGTCTCCTCCCCTTGGTCTGTCTCCTTCTGGTCTGGTCTCCTCCCTCTTGGTCTGGTCTCCTCCCTCTTGGTCTGGTCTCCTCCCTCTTGGTCTGGTCTCCTCCCCTCTTGGTCTGGTCTCCTTCCTCTGGTTGGTCTGTTCTCCTTCCTGGTCTGGTCTCCTCCTCTTGTCTGTCTCCTTCCTGGTCTGGTCTCCTCCCTCTTGGTCTGTCTCCTTCCTGGTCTGGTCTCCTCCCTCTTGGTCTGTCTCCTTCCTGGTCTGGTCTCCTCCCTCTTGGTCTCTTCCCCCCACCTCTTTCCTCCCAATTTCTGATTTATAAACAAATTTCTATCCATTAAAAAGGATCTATTTCTCAAAGCTTAGAACTGTTATACAAAATGTACCCAAATACCTTTCCTCCGTAAATTGTATGTAATATTTCTTTTCAATACTCTTGTGTGTTACATCTTGCTACATGCTTTTAGATACATTGACAGTGAGAATTCTTAAATGTAAGAATTAAACTCTGAACCCATTTTCACTCTTGATAACCATGTGTGTGTGCTTGTAAAACCTATGGTAACTAATAGAATTCATATAAAATTATAAACTTTTAGTTTTGTTGAGTTCATTTTGAAATCCTGTTACTGCCTGTTCTAATCATTTTCAAGCCTTTCTGTGACTTGAGCAAATTTGTTAAACTTCATTACAACTTGATTGAACGTGTAAAAAAAAAAAATAAATAAAAAATACCTTGCTATTCTTTTGTATAAATGCAGAATTTTTTGGTTTTTGTTTTAATTTACTCAAGTGAAAATAAAATAAAAAGGTGAACTTTATTTCAAAATACAAAATGTTTATTCAAAATAATAAATTTCTTCTGTGCAAACAAATTTTATATTTCAGTTTACAAATGGGAACAATTCTATTGGCAGTGCTGTAATAATATCTATGAAAGTGTAATTTGGTTTTAGCATTAACAAGAAATCATCTGCTCTCTCCCTCTTTATCTCTCTCTCTCTCCCACTCTTTCTCTCTCTCTCTCCCCCTCTTTGCTCTCTCTCTCCCCACTCTTGCTCTCTCTCTCCCCCACTCTTTGCTCTCTCTCTCTCCCCCCTCTTTGCTCTCTCTCTCTCCCCCTCTTTTTGCTCTCTCCTCTCTCCCCCACTCTTTGCTCTCTCTCCTCTCTCCCCCACTCTTTGCTCTCTCTCCCTCTCTCCCCCACTCTTTGCTCTCTCTCTCCCTCTCTCCCCACTCTTTGCTCTCTCTCTCTCCCAAGTGTTGCACTCTAACGGCTCAACTTGAACAAAAGTTTTAATTCCTCTAAGACAGAAAAAAAAATGACATTGTTTACATATTTTTTGACTTTGTACATTAAAAAATGCAATAAAAAATGTCCCAAACTCCATATTTGGATGTTGGGTGATGGATAAACACACATAAAGGTGTTCTTACAAAAACATTTTTCTTCTAGATTTGGACCCTAAACTCAGGTTTCCAAAAGTGATTTTTTTTTCCCCTGATCATTTCTCTGTTTGAGAACCTGTAATTGTAACAATCCTATAATTACATATATGAACAATTCATACTTGTGAACTTTGTGGCTTTTGTCGTTACTCCCGTGCCATTCTGCAGTTGCTTTCAGGAAATGGTGGTAGATATTCTGACTGGCTTGGTTTGTTCCATCTTCAGTATATTTTTGCAACCCTTTTCTGAAGAGAAGTGGCCTCATTTCTCTTTCCCTAAAGATTATACTTCTGAAGAAGGCTAGATTGGCTGAAACAATAAAAGTGACAGTAAAGAATGAATTGAATTGTCTTGAACAACTTTCAGGATGCTAATGATTTTGCCAGAAATTACAGATGGTATCATTACCAGCAATTTTTTTTTTTTTTTTTTTTTTTCCACAAAGAAAATTTCTGAACTCTAAAAGTTAGTCAATTTCTTGACATTAAAATATTTCTTTAATATTTCTCATGTCTTTTAGGATTTTTTCCTCTGTGTATGCTTCTCCTACTGCCTTCTTCAAAAACTGACTTAATATTGTATATAGAGACCTGGGTGTGTGGGGGGGTGTCATTATTATTTTTTTTGCTTTTCTCCATAATGATAATAAAATAAATGCAATATATATAAAAAAAAATTTAAGTTTTGAAGAACAACAACAACAACAACAATAATAATAATAATAAACTAAAAAAAAAATTCTTTTTACAAACTATGACCAACATTGTGCCTAAGCTTTTCTTCTTCTAAAGAAATCCTTTTAAATCAAAAACTTGCTCTAACAGAAAATACCTTTGGTTAATTTCTACATGGGACAAATGTCTATTTTGACTTTAGACCCTTTCTAAAAATGTATTTCATTGAGTTTAATTGCACTAAAACTTCTATTTAAGGTAGTTTATTTATTTTAATTTTTTTAAAATTTTAATTGCATCTTTTTCAAATCATTGGGTATAAATAAATTCTGTTTAGGCCTTGGAAATTGCCTCCCTCATCAACTGTTGTAAATTTAATTATAAGTATACACAGCAAAAAATGAAAATATTTAAGTGTGAAAATTATTAAATAAATTTTTTTTAAAACCTATTTTATAGCCTAAACACAAGAAAGTGGCTATAACGATCAATTTGTAAATTCATTTCCCAACTTTCAATACATAAACCTTATTTCTCATTTCAGAAATTTAATTGAACTTGGGTAAATTGAGAGACCAAATATGTTTAATTCTTATCCAACTAGTTTTATCAGATTCTTGTTTTTATTTTTTTCCTAACTGAACCATTGTTTTTTTGTTTTTTGGGGGGGGGGTAAACCCTCATTACAGTATATATATATATCTTTTTTTCTTTTGATTTTAAATTCTTTGAAAAGTATCTTCTTTACTTGCTTCAGATTGAAACCTTATCTGAAGAAACCTCAGCACCAAATCATTTCTTGTAATTCCAACATTGAATGTCTCTCATCACCATCAGAATTGCCATAATTTTAAGATCCATTCCTTAGCATGTACAGTATGTTGCAAAAATTTGGAAACCTCACCCTATAGTCATGAAATAAGATCTCCTGTACAGCAATTTTATAAATATTATCATTGTTAGTCTTTTCTCGGATAAGATCTTAATATCTGTTAATGCAGGGATAGCAATCCACAACCAGGTATCATGCAATTTTCCTCTGGCTCTAAGTGTTCATCACTTTCTAAATTATTCTTTCTGTTTCTAAGAGGCTTCCTTTCTGTAATTGGTACCAATTTTCTTTGTCCATATTTACATTCTGTTGCACCAAGTTCACCAGGAAGAACTGGTACAATTGTGATCTTCAATTTCCAAAAGCTTGCGAGTTCAAAGTTCAGTAGGTCATTGTTGCATACTTTCTCTTCTTCCTTTTCTTCTATTCTTGTATCAAAGGACATGCTAGGTCAATGATTAAATCTTTTCTGTTTTATCTTCCTCTAATATGTCTTTGTGTTGAAAGATCTTGCAAAATGTTGCATATTTCTGACTTGTGAATTTTCTCAGCTTTAGGGTTGTGCTATAGCTTTTCTTGCTGTAAATCCCACCTTTCCGCACAAACTTCCAAGTCATGATTTTGGTTATATGATCAAGTAACTATTATAATAACAATAACAGAAACTTACTAGATATCTGTATTAACTCATCTTAAAGGCTAGTAGTTACATGGAAATTATTTTTGATCTCTGGAAGGCATAGAAGTTTCAAGGCTTTTTTTTTTTTTTTTTATCCAAATTATCTGTACTTTTTTATTCAAATTATCTATACATTTTTTTTTTGTTTTATTCAAATTATCTACATTTTTTTTTTGTTTTATTCAAATTATCTATACATTTTTTTTTTTGTTTTATTCAAATTATCTATACATTTTTTTTTTTGTTTTATTCAAATTATCTATACATTTTTTTCTTTTTATTATTCAAATTATCTGTACTTTTTTTTTTTTTTTTTTTTTTTAATCCAAGTGGTCTTTTTTAATAATGAAGAATTTGTGGTGATGATTTTCATTGGAGGCAATTTTTCTTTTCGTAATATTTTATTTGTCTGCTATCAGATTAAGTTATGGTGAGTATGGTTTCCTTTCCAAAAGCTCAAGTTCATGATCCTCTCTTCCTGGTCTGCTTTTTACACACTGCACACAGTGGTGCAGCATGGCTCATAATCCTATTATCTTTGCGAATAGTATCTTTCTTGGGGTTGATGGACAGCACCATTTTTATGTAGGATGATAACCCCCCAAAAACCATTGCATGTATATGAGAGTTCCTTAACACTGGATATCTACTAAGTGGTTTTAGGGTCATATCAAACTCTTGGTCACCCAAATCTGACACAATTCTAGTTTTAAATTGGAATATTATGAATAAAAGATGAAAATCAATACTAGACATGATTTGAAAGATCTAAGAGTCAATTTAGAATTATGGAGTCAATACAGTAATCAAAAATACCTTCCTTTCAAATACTTAACCATTTCAACTTAGATCAAATACATATTTCTTATCTAGTAATTTTTAGCATACAAAAAAAATGCTCTATTTCTAAATTGAAAAAATTTTTTATTTTTATTATTGTAATTAAGCATAGCTTAGTTTTTGCACAAGGCTGCAAGCATTGAACTTGCTGCTAATGATTTTAGTCCTAGCTTATTGACCATTACATTATGCTGACGTGACCTTACTTTCATAATTTTTGGTTGGGATTTCCAAACTTCTGCAAGTTACCGTAATCTGTTTTTAATATTTTCTTTTCCACATCACTTATGCAGTAATACTAATTTTGTTCTGTAAAAATGTTCAGTCTTCATCTAAGCAGTTTATTTTAACAGTACCAGAAGATTTGCTATCAACTCTTGGGAATAAAAGAGTATGTCCCCCTCCCTGCAATTCCTCATTCTTGTGACTCCTGTAGAAAATCTTTTTCTTCATTGCACAAATGCAATTTATTTTGATTTATTTAGAAAGAATGAGCTTTGTAAATCAGTGATTGTCACATATTCTAATAAGGACTTAAATTCATTAGCTGACCTGTAAAAACAAAAAAAAAAACCCAAAAACCTTGCTATTGTTCTGTTTGTTGTTTTTCCATGATTTTTTGTTATTTGTAAAAAATAAATAAAATAATTATATATATATATATATATATTGGGAGAAATATGATAATTTTTAGGGCTTTTCTCGGATATTTTGTTATTGTTAAAACATGACTATTGGATGCATTTTAAATACAAATAAATCCTTTCCACTTTTTGTATCTTATGTTTTTTTTGTCTTTTGTATATACTCATGTGTTTTTCTTTCGTTTTTTTTTTTATTTTTTATTTTTTAGTGTACCTTTATTAATTATATATATATGTGTGTGTATATATATATATATATATAATATTATTAACTAAAAAAAAACTATGCATAAAGGCAAAAGACAATAAAAAAACTATAGGTTAGCCAACGTTTCATCCAAAAATTTTTTTTTCAACAAAAAATGAAATGAATAACTTTATTGAAAACAAAGTAACTATTAACAACAAACAAAATGTCCTTAGCATCTAGATGTTTGGAAAACTCTATTTTATTCAATTCTCAACTGAAAATTACATCAACCTCTCCCATCTAAATAATCACAAACACTTTCAAAAACCATTATGGTTATAATCAGATCATCAAACATAAACAATAATAATTCTAAGTCATTTATAAAAATAAATTGCCAAAACTATTTCCCAATATATTGGAAAATTCAGAATTTTAAAAAAAGAATCTAGGAGTTCCTCACAAAACACAAATGCATAGATACATAGAAATAAATTCAACCACAATTTTGATTTTAAAAATGCTACATTTCTCAAAAAAAACTAACACACTCAGAACGAAAATCCTCATGATACCGCCATGGAATATTATCTTTTTTAATTTAATCCAATATCCATTTCTGAATTTTTCAATTTTCAAAAAAATAGACCTCCTAACAATATTTCTATGTAATTTTCAGTTAAACAATGTTAGTTTTTTAAGAATGGAAGGACATTTTTGTTTGTTATGATAGTTACTTTTTTTCAAGAAATTCATTTCGTTTTTTTTTTGAAAAGTCATAGAAATTATATCTAAAAATAAATATTTTTTTTATAACTTACTTTTTCTTTATAATACCATTGCTTTTTCAAATCTATGGTTTTAATCCATTAACTGCCAAATTTTTTAATGTATTTTTTTGGCCCAGACAGGTGTCTTAGGAGTTTATTTATTCCTTATGTTTAATTTCAGT